AAAAAACCCCCCCCCCCCCCCCCCCCCCCTCACCTGCCCACTCTCTCTCCTCTCCACTCGCCCCCCCACCCCTCATAAATTTTTTGTTTTCTAGCTTTTCTCTTTTTTCCCCGACTTAGTAGATTTCCAGCCAGAATTTTCACGTGTCCGCACGAGAGTTGCAGATGTGCGCGAAAGTTCATATCACGTTCCTGGAGCCGCATTTGGCCAGGGAACACACTGGCAAAATTTCAGCACCGTAGCCTGCATGGTTGTCGAGTAGAAATACCCGGGCAGACGAACACACGTACGCGCACACACACGCGCGCACACACATACACACCCAAGGATCAGCACAAAATGTGCTTCTGCTGTTTATTGCACCGCTTTAGCACTGCACAGAAAAGGGCATAAAAGGGGACGGAAGGCTGCGGGGGACCAAAGTTGCTCAAAACGGGAGACTGTCACTACTAGGGGTATTGATATGTTGCAAGAAGAGTGTTCCCAAAGGTGAAAGGGCTGCTTATAAGGTTGTGCCACTCAAAAAGAGGGCAGGTTGTCCAGAAATTTAGTCGAATGGAGAAGTTTTGGAACTAAGGGCAGAAAAGGAGCATTCTTCCTCCTCATTTCCAATCATCCTCCTTCCCCTCCTCTCCTCCAAATGTACGTGACCTAGCCAACCAACAAGGAATCTCTGCCATTATAGCCATTAAATCCACTTGTTTAAGGCCGCTCTATTGCCTTGAACAAAATCCGCAACAAACTACCACCCTCCTCCCAACTGCCACATTCGAGCTGCCAATAATCGTCGTGGGATGGCCCTATCCGTCATCCCCCGAAAAATTTTTAGCAAATCATGTATGATGCCAGCCCAGCCGGTCGAGTTATAGTAATCACCGGAGTGGATGCGGCCGGACGAATTGGGTAAATAGCGGTTCGGCCCGATGGCCTAACATCACCATTTTAACAGTCGTCGTGCGTCCTCCTCGTAGTATTTCTTGCTTTTTGTCGGTTCTTGCATGCTCGGGTCTTGGAGTTTTTCGCAGGTTCCATGTCTGAGGAGCTGTATGATTGCCTCGCTTTGGTTGTTTACCGGACGGGAGGTGGGAGGGGGGAGAACGAAAGATGCAGAGGGACTCGGAGAGATGAGGTAGAAGAATGAGGGCAGTTGATTACAGGTTTTTTTATTCTTCTTCATTGAATAATGCCAAAGATTCGCTTACGCCTATAAGGGATATTCTTTGAACCGTTCATGTTGTGCTGCTGCTGCTGGTGTTGCAGTTGTGACCGGAAGTAGATGACCATTGGGCTACAGGAGGGAGAAAGACAGTGGTATTGGAATAAGCCTTCTGGTTCGGAAGCTGGCCTTATCGTTAGAAGTGACAGCATCTGAGACAAAGGGTATATATAATGGCGCCCTGGGACGGCTAAAATCTTGTTAGAGTGATTTTTTCGAGAGAACCGCCGAGCTAATAATCCCGGGAGGAGACGAAACAAGCGTCATGGTCGCCGGATGACCGCCAGATGACCAGTGTATGAGCCAGGATGGCCAGTGGATAAGCCAAAGCATTTAGAAAACTTGTCAGCTGCACAGTTGGGAGGACTATGCTGTGAGAACTGCACGTGATACGTGAAGCGATTACTAGTTCACCATTTGAATCATATTCGGCTCATTCTTCCCAGTGGTGTGAGTCAGTAGCATACCACTCTCCTCCTTCACTTTTCGGTTATTGTGACTCTTGCTAACTTCAGTTACCATAATTGTGTTGTACTGACGAAGTCCAGTTGTGGTAATCGTAAGAAATGTGTACGACTTAATGGAGCGAAGTACTTTTTACCATTATAATAATCGCACAAATTTTCTAATTTTCATTTCTCAACTTCT